AAAGGGAATATAAAGAGTGACTTTCCAGAAGTGATGAGTGCTTTTCATATTTTTGAATGTTTGTAATATATATGTATATATATGTGTGTGTATATGTGTGTGTGTGTGTGTGTATATATATATATATATATATTTCTTAAGCAACAAAATACCTAAACGATATCATGTTATAAAATCGTCAATGTTAATTTCATATAAGAGAACATATCCCCAAAATAGGGTTGCCAACCTCCATATCGTCAAAAGTCAAGGACAAGAGATCACGGGACTGGCTGAACTTCGTAATAAAATGATATAAGGTAGAAAGGAAGAAAGAGCAGAAAAAAAGTTGCAGAAAAAATATGAAAGGTGTAAGGTCTCATCTGATGAAACCTTGAGTGAAATGGTCTATTGAGCACTGTACCTTCAGAAAGACTTGAGACCAAATTATGTCAAAGGAAACAACTTCAATGGTTTGTTACTTACTGGATAATTAAAGAAGATATATTTTCCCCTAAACACGACTTCGTTATCATATCACGGTTGTTTTACTACGAAGTTCAACCTCCATATGGTAGCTGGAGATCTTCTAGAATTACAACTGGTCTCCAGCCGAGAGAGATCAGTTTCCCTGGAGAAAACGGCTGGTTTGGAAGCTGGTCTCTATGGTGCTGTACCCTATTGAAGTCCCTCCCCTTCCCAAACTCCATCCATCCCAGGTTCCACCCCCCAAATCTCCAGGAATTTCTGAACCCAGAGCTAGTAACCCTAACCAAAGAAATTTTTTAAAAATACTCATTTAACTTATTGATTCTGTGTATTTCTTTAGTAAGTATGCATACCAACTGCTTACTTTGACAGAGTATTATTGTTTGCAACCAAGTAGATCCTAAATCTAGGAATATAATTCAAATCTTTGGCCATACAACCCACATGTTGCACTGCAAAATTATCAGTTTAGGAACAAGACATCTTTTTTCTGTTTCAGAGCTCTCTTCACATGCGAGAACACGAAGCACAGTCATGTGAAACTACCTTACACTGAGTCAGATCACTGGTCCATCTTACAGTGGTTAAATTACCAACCTCTAGGTGGAGCCTGGAGGTATCCCAGAATTACAACTGATCTCTATACTACAGAGATCAGTTCCCCTAGAGAAAATGGTTGTTTTGAAGAGAGAATACTATGGCATTATACCCCGCTGAGGGTCCTTCCCTCACCCAACCCCACCCTCCCCAGGCTTCACCCCAAAATCTAGAGGAATTTCCTTGAGTTGGCAACCCTAGTCCACTCTGACTGACAGCAACTTTCCTTGGGTAGAGATTTTTCACATCAAGTACTACCTTATCTTTTAAAAATCAGCGATGCTGGAGACTGAACCTGTAATCTAATGCATGCAAAGTAGATGTTGTACCACTGTGCCAAAGCCCCTCCCTAGGTCAATTTTTTTGAAGACTAAAGCTGCAATATTATTACACCTACCTGGAAGCAAGAGCCATTGGACACAGTTAAATTTACTTTTGAGTAAACCTGCACATGGTAGAGCTGTAACTGTCCAGAATATTCTGAAAGCCATGTTGATGACTAATGAGCAAAACAACTTGTTACCCAAAGAGGCAGTCTCCTAATTAGTTGGGGAAATTAGCTTTAAGGAGATAGAGCGAGAGGGGGTAACTGGGATTCGCCACCTATGTATACGAGGATTTTTCCCTTAAGAGAACTCTTAAAATAAACCAAGCAGATGTTCAACCAGAAAGGTTTTTTATTTAAAAGAGTGAAAATCAAAATGCACAAAATAAACAAAATGCACACACAGAGCTAGCTAAGAGAAACACAGGAAGGAACAGGGGGAGAGAGGTTTTAGGGAAGGGTGATAATTACTGGTCTTGAAGAAGGTCCATGGAAGCTGCAAAATGGCCAGTGTTTCATGAAGAGAAGAAGTTCACAAAGTGGGGGTGTATGTGGTTGGTACCAGGAACACACACAAACTGAGGTAGTATATGTGCAGTGCACTGTTATGCAGAGTTACTGAGGTTCAAGCTCATTGATTTAATAGTTAACATGGTTGGAAGGTATAAAACAGGTCACTTATTTGACTTCGGTGAATGATCCTAGTGAGATGCTGGATGGCATCTCTTGCATCTTGATAACTGATGAGTTGCTAGTCCTTGGGTCTAGTAGATAGCTCATAACCAGGGCTGCCAACAGGTCTGGAGAACAATATCCTGCCCCTTTAATGGAGGAAATTGGCAGTTGAAACTTCATGGCATGGAGGTAAATCATATCACCTTGTAAATAACATTCCATTAAGACTCCTTTAAAGGGATAGGATAGGGAAAGGAGCTGTGGTGGCTCAAGTGGTTAAGATGCTGAACTGCAGGCTGTGGAAAGTCAGTAGTTCAGCAGTTCAAGACTCGGGTGTCGCATGATGTAGTGAGCTCCCGTCTCTAGTTCCAGCTCCTGCCAACCTAGCAGTTCGAAAGCAAGAAATTGCAAGTAGATAAATAGGTACCACTTCGGTGGGAAGGTAATAACGTTCCGTGCGCCTTGGTGTTTAGCCATGCCAGCCACATGACCACGGAGACGTCTTTGGACAGCACTGGATCTTCGGCTTTGAAACGGAGATGAGCACCGCAACCTTAGAGTCGGATTCGACTGGCTTTCGAGCAAGGGAACCTTTTCCTTTTTTAAGGGATAGGAACTTTCCTCCAGGCAGTTGTCAGCCTTACCCACAGAAGTAAAGGCAATATTTATATTACTTAATCATTGGTCAGATATGTTTGTGTATGGATTATTTGTACATTGGAAAGCAGCCATTAATTCAGTGTGCTTTTCGGTTGACTGTGATTTAGATTTAAAAGATGAAAGGTGTAGACTCTTAACATGTTTGTATTAAGACTTAAGATGTCTACTAGGTTGTCTTTAACTCTAATTTGAAAGTTCATAATATTAAAATCCAGTTGTTTGATGTGACAAGTGTTAGCAAGGAGTTCTAGAAGCTACTATTAGGGGGGGGGAAGGAGAAGAGTTTTTGAATTGAGTGGACATACTCAATTAATGGACCTTTGTAACATTATGGCAGCCACATGCTTGGCGAGGTGGAATGCAGTAGGAAGGGTGAATTATACAAACTTTTGTAAGGGTATAGCAGTGGCAGTAACTTTTTCCCCAATTGCCCCTTTCCATTGCAGCCCCCCCCACACCATTCCCAAGGTCCCCTTGACCCTCAGAAGGACTTTTGTGGGGTTTCAGATGGCTGCAATAAGAGGGGGTTGTGTGTGATCCGATGCACATTTCTTTGAATTCAAGCCATGAGTCTTTTAAAAAGTTAGTGGTTGTGAAAGAAAGACATTCCTATACTGGAATACATTTTCAGACAAGCAGAAAAGAAGGGGAGTAACAACAAGATTAATGTCCTCTGCGGTACCCCCCCTATTCGTATTATAGTGAGAAGATCAGGACTGTGGGAGTAGCATAAGAATTTAAAATGCGGTTGGGATACATTTTGTCTGCTTATTCAGAAAAGACCTTTAAATATCCTCTTTGTAACACAGATGTTCCTCCTTGCATGCAGCACAAGTGGTTCTTTCTTTTCCCTGCAATGTGTTCAACTTTTGAGATGTTAAATTTTAAAGAAAGCTTTCACCACAAATTTCATTTGTCATGTCTCATAGAAAATATAAATTGTACATCTTTTTTTTATAAAGGCTAAATTTATTTCCAATGCTGTTCCATAGGAAGTGAATATAGAGTTGACACAAGGATGGTGTTAAAATATTTTGAATTGGACTATATCACGTTTTCTGCTAGTATAAGCATACAACCATATTGCTGTTCCCTCATTACACCCAACTCTTTAATGGGGGGGGGGTGTTTCAGGAGCAGTGTTTCATGAGATGTGGTGGGCTGTATCAGGAGGGAGAGGGTGGGGATTGTATTGCAGTCGAAACTTTTAATCAAGCTGATTTAATTTATGTAAATTAGATTGCAATTCAAATACAAACATGTTTGCTCAGGATAACAGTCTGAAGACGTGTGCATGCACACAAAAGCTTATACTCAGAATTAAACTTTGTTGGTCTTCAAGGTGCCACTGGAGTCAAACTTTGTTCTGTTGCTTCAGACCAACACAGCTACTCACCAGTCTGTATTCTTGTGTGAGGATCAAGATTGCTTCACATATGAAGTTTCTTTCATTTTACTATCTCTTCTAGGAAGGAGAGATGCATATGATAGCGAAGAGCACACATAACTCTCTGTTGCCACATATAAAAGTGACATATTTACTAGCTTTGTTAGGTGTTTCAAGTTCAAACACTTTTGTATAATGGTGACTAGATCGCTGCTGGTACCATCCTAGGAATTTTTTGAAAGCATGCAGAGGACTACTGTGTCTTTCTAACATGTACATACACCAGACTGGTGGTGGTGGTGCTTACTACACTAGATGTTACACATGCCTTGTGTCTACTGTTGATTTTTCCTACATGAAAATTATATTCACCTAGGAAAAAACATTACATGAAATGTCCTTCTATTAATGATCATTGTATTATGTTCCTTTATTGAAAAGGAGGTTCTGTTTCCTGTGCAGTTCTCACATATGTGATTTCTAGCATGCCAATTATAAAAAGTCAAGAAATGCTTTATAGTACAGTGTTAATACTGTAGAGGAGAACCTCGCATGTTCCACTCTCCTGCCCTTAAGGAAGTTTTGAGAGAAATGCTGTAAATAAGTCCAGTCATCTATAACTGAAAACTGTTGGGCAGTGAGCTGCAATGTGTAAAGGGTTCTCCAGCTTAAGAGCATGAAAATATAAAACAGGCTGTTAAGATTTGTAGCAGAACTTTTATTGATATGTGAATCATTTCTACCTCAATTTATTGTCTTATGGAGGTACATTCAAGGGAAATCTAGCCGTCTTTCAAAATGGATTCCTGATGGATTAAAACCAATTGTTTCTAAAATTGACATTTTGATATTGATCAACAACTTGGAAAACATGGGAAAACTGGCAAAGTAAGCCTTTAATATTTTTAAAGGCGAATGAAAAACATCTTGCAGAGTGGTTACGAGTCATTTTTGCTATAAAGGTAAGCAAGAAAGTGAATGTATTGCATATTAACAAACACATTTACTTTCCAGGTTGCGTAAGTACATGTTACTTTGCCAGTTATGACTTCAACAGTTCCATTCTCACCATGAGGATTTAATCTGAAGCTGAATTTGCAAGAACACATGAGACTGCCTTATACTGAGTCAAATGACTGGTCTATCAAGCTTAGTATGTTCTGGCAGGCAAAGGCTTTCCAAGGTCTCAGGTGAAGGTCTCTCATATCACCTACTACCTGATGCTTTTAACTGGAGATGTAAGGATTTAAATCTGGGATCTTTTGCTTGAAAAGCAGATGTTCTGCCACTAAGTCACAACTCTTCCTGATTCATTTGAGCCTAGATGAAGCATGTGAAAGTTTTCTAAAATAAATACCTGAAATATCTAGAGCAAAACATAGACAGTTGCAATGAAATTACAAAAAAGTTACTGGTTTCGTCTTGTGCTTTTGAAATGAAAAAAGTAGCTACTCCTGGGAAGAGCTGATATTTTGTGGAAAATACTGATTGACTCACCCATGTACAAAATGCTGAGCTCTTTGGAGAAACCACAAAATATAATGTGAGGAATGAAAGATTATTGTAAAGCTGCCAGCAAGCACAACACCAAACAAATGTAGTAAGATTCACCTCACACCATTATGTTGTGGTGTCTGAAGGTGTCACAGCAGAAACTTCTGCATGCTCAAGGAGTTTAACATGTCGTTCTTTTTAGCTGTTACAGATAGGACGATGGCTGTCCAAATTTGAACATATGTTCCCAAAATGTTGTTCTGCTAATTTCAGGTCTCTCCCGTGCAATCATTTTGATGTTAGGTAGCAAATTTAAGATATTTTGATTCTTTCCATGGTGTTTATCTTTTTAAATATTTTATTGCAGGGGGATTTATTGTGCTTAAAACTTTTGGTAAAGGACGTGTTACTATGGATATGGAAGGATTTCCTCCCCCACCACCCACTGAAGGTAATCAGAAAGACAAAGTTGTACTTCTTTTCCTTGTCAAATTTAGAATATCTGTGTTTTGTTTTTAGTTCCTTCCTAATTTGAGGGTTTTTCCCCCCTTGAGGGGGATTAAGCTAATTTATTAACATTTTGAATTATAATTTTGGATTTTTTAAAAATCTGACTCATCTGTTTTCTTGTGTTTGGGCATAAGATATGCTTTAGTGTTTGTGTCTGGGTAGAAGATATGCTTCCCATTGATTTCATTCATTGGCGGTAGCTTTTCTAGATGAAGCTCATTTTTCCAGTTGTTAAATATCATGACTGGGGTATGGTTTCTGTTATTCTTGGATGCAGTAAATTTTGGAGACTGCTTAAATGGATATGTTTTTCTTGGGGGGAGAAATAGTTGTGTGAGTACATGAATACATCTAGTATTATTTTTAATTGAATGTATCCTAAGCTCCATAGTGTAATTATATAAGACAGCTCAGCAGGTAATGGGTGTATAGGATGGGGTCAAATCTGATATAGGAATATGATACGTGCAGAATTCCCTGGAGAATCGTTTGGGCTACACTAAATTGTGTGTGTGTGAGCACTGAGGGGTTTCTCAACAGTGGGCACATTTAAGGTGGTGGTCCCAACTGGACTGAAACTGCTATGAAATAGGATAGACATTTCAAAAATAATGAACCTGCCCAATTTATGACATGGTTGTGCAAATAAGTGAATGCCTCTTGAATTACATTAGGGTTCCCTGTAGAAGAAAGGGATACAAATGAGATAAGTGAGAATTCTGGCTTCCAGCTTTCTGCTACTTGGGGAGGCACTGTTCAAAACACAACTGCAATATGTATCAAAAGACTCCTAAACTTGAAGACAAAGTCCACAGTTACAAATATATTTGTATGGGCAGAGCTTTGTGTTCCTACTACCAAAGAACCAAGCTTCCTTTAAAAATGGGCCAGTGGGAACAGACAGCTCTTCCCAAAGGAATAAACTGTGGTTCATTTCTAAAAGATTATATGTTGGCAGTGACAACTGGCGACAATGCAACATTATGCAAATATGCATCTGAAGCATACGTATTGATTGTTAGGATTATAGCCATTGAGTATCAGATTTAATAATTACTTTGTGCTATGCTGTCCTGAATAGCTAGGAGATATTTCCTGCTGCTCTCTCTGACACAGAGCAGTCAGAATCCCTGTACTGTGCCGGAAGTTGACATTGCTCTTCCAGTATTATGAAATCACTAGGAGTAAGGTCTGTTGTGGGAAGAAATACAACAAGCTCTAGAAGGAAGCTCCAGGTGAGTGTCCTGGCTGTGGCTGGTGGGGTGGCAGAGGGAAGGGGAAAATAGAAGTAGGCAAACCATATTTATTTCCTTCTGCTTAGCTATAAGGCAGGGCTGTCTCAAGTCATTTTGCTGCCCCAAGTGGGTAGTATGGGAGGACAGCCTCATGGTAACAGGTATGGTTCCCTCCACCCCTGACTTATGTTGATTTGGGGTTATGCAGTGGCAGTTAAGGTAGAAAACCACCTCCTCCTATGCCATGTCTTCAGGGTTCCAAGGATCTGGAAAGCGGTTCCATAGCCAGTTACAGGGTTGCCCACTCTGGGTTGGGAAATACCTGTAGATTTGAGGGGTAGAATCTGGGGAGGGAAGGGGTGGGGAGGGAACTCAGCAGTGTATAATGCCATAAAGTCCACTGGCCAAAGAAGCCATTGTCTCCAGGAGAACTGATCTTGGTCATCTGGACATTAGTTTTAATAGCTGAAGCTCTCCAGATGCCGCCTGGAGGTTGGCTTATGTTAATTTGGGGCTATGCAGTGGCAGCTAAGGTAGAAAAGCACCTCCTCCAGTGCCATGTTTTTTGGGTTTCAAGGGTCTGGAAAGTGGTTCCATAGCCAATTACATGGTTACCAACTCTGGGTTGGGAAATAGCTGTAGATTTGAGGGGCAGAGCCTGGAGAGGGCAGGGTTTGGGTTGGGGAGGGACCTCAGCAGGGTATAATGCCATAGAGTCCACTGGCCAAAGTGGACTTTATCTTCAGGAGAACTGATCTTGGTCATCTGGAGATCAGTTGTAATAGCTGGGAAATTTTCTGTAGGGGAAATGATGTGCTGTGGCTGGGGAACACGGTGATTTCTGGGAGATCTCCAGGCCCCACAGGGAGATTGACAACTCTAGTGACCGTTTAAGGAGTTTAGGATGCTGGAGGTGGGACTCAGGCAACACAGCCAGTGGATAGAAACAGCTTCTGACACATCATGGAGCCAACTGATTTAGGAGCGTGTGGAATGTTCAGAAAGTGTTCAGAAACTCCACTAAATTATATATGAGAGATTTGCACAGCGTAGGACTGCTGTACTTGAAACTGTGTTGCTATGGAGAGGGGGGAAGCAAGCCTGTCATACCTATTTAACTGTAACATATATATTTTGAGTTTGTATTGAATTAATAAAACTTGACACAAACAAGGTAGAACTGGAAATCCTATTTAATCTTTTTAATGCACAGACTTAATTAGCAGAATTAATTCCTAGGGACTGTTATGATTGTGAAGTGTTAAATAGTGTTTTAAAGCTAACTTCCATTTGATAGATCAAGATGGATAGCCATGTTTGTCCATAAAAGTTGTTGTTGTTCAGTCGCACAGTCGAGTCCAACTCTTCGCAACCCCATGGACAAGATCACGCCAGGCCCTCCTGTCTTCTGCCATCCTCTGAAGTTTGCTCAATTTCATGTTTGTTGCATCTATGACACTGTCTAACCATTTCATCCTTTGCTGTCCCCGTCTTCTTTGACCTTCAGTAAGAATCCAGTAGCACCTTAAAGACTAACAAAATTTGTGGGTATGAGCTTTTATGAGTTGCTGCTCATAGATATCTGAAGATTCTACTGGGTTCTTACTCTTTTCTGCTTTTTCACTTGATGTTGGTTATACTGGTGAGTTCCTAACCGCTTTGTCAATTATTTAATGTCTTTTGGAAGCAGGAATTGAGAACATCATACTTCTGTATGACTAAGCCTCCTTTGGCACTGTATGTAAGAATATTGCCTAAATTGAACCCCAGCACTAAAGGGATTTGATCTTTGCTTGGGCTGCATTTGTTTGTCAGAAATCCCCATTTGAGCTTGCAGACTGCTAAAAAAGGATGGTAAAACTGGAGCCAAGCTTAGAGATGAATGAGAACAACATCCAAATTGTAATTATGAATAGTCTCTTGTTTGGGAAGCTGTTAGTTGCTTGTTTGGTGTCTGAACTTCTGTTTCAAATAGAAGGACAGAGATCCTGTTACTGCTTATAAATAACAGGGAAAACAAATCTGTTTAAGCAAATCACTGATATTTTATTTAAAAACACACTCTTTACAAGAGGAAAGAAAAACAGACAGTATGGGAAGAAAGTACATTGTTTAACTATTTCTGGGTTGTTGTTTTTTTTAATCCTGCTTCACTCTGAAGGGCTCAAAGCAACTAGAAACTCTCATTACATAAACACAAATATTAAAATGAAATTTTAAAAACCGAGTCTATCAAGCCCAGAAAAAAACTAAATATACCCCCCACACACACAACATTTCCCTTCTAAAAAAAGTATAACCATCCACATTAACAGCAATAAAAAAACAATCCTCAGGCTGGCTATTCAAGAGGGCTGCACAGAGAAAGGCCTGACTTTTAGTGGAGGCCAGATGGGCCAACTGGGTAGAAGTAAGGTTGCCAGCTGGACAGGAGAAACATCTGCTGTCCCTTTCATAAAAGTTTAATGAGTGGTAATCAGCAGTTGAAGCTTTTCATGGAATGAAGTTCAATAACATTACCTGTTAATTGCTTGCAAAGTTATATTGAATTTTTAAAAAATGGCAACTATTAAATACCAGGTTCTGGACACATTTGCAGTGAAACTACTTTATTACGTGATTTCAGGAACACTACAAGACAAACTCCAGGGCAGCTGCCCTGTTTTTAAGCATGCAATCACCACACCTCAAACACACCCCACTCCCAATGATAGGCTATCTACATAACACTGTTACTCTATTGGTCTACTCCTGGCTCCTAGTAAGCTATTGTTCAGGGGAAACAAGCTCAATCTGATCCTGATACTATTTCACGGACTACTTGGGCTCAGTACACAACACCCCTCCCCCCTAAGTTCCAAAGCACCGTAACACACTAAGTCTCAGGTATGCTGGTTTGCATCATTCTCTAGTTGAACGTCGCGACTCTATCAAAGGGTCGCGGTCTCTGGGCCTTGGTCTGCTGTTGCTGGTGCAGTGTTAGTGAAAGGCTGTGGGACTAGCGTAGCTGCTTAATCAGGTGTTTCGTCTCCTTGGCGGTCTGGCTGTGCAGTGTTGGATAGGGACTCCCTCACTGTCTCAGGTTCCTGTGGTCGCGGCGGTCCTGCATTGCTGTCTTCTGCAACTGCTGTTGGTGACTCCAGCTCTACTGGGAGGAGATGGTGGTGGAGCTGGTCTATGTGTCTACGCAGGACCTGACCAGTTGATACCTCATATGATGAGAGCCAGTTTGGTGTAGTGGTTAAGTGTGCAGACTCTAATTGGGAGAACTGGGTTTGATTCCCCACTCGTCCACTTGCACCTGCTGATGTGACCTTGGGTCAGTCACAAGCTCTGGCATAGCTGTTCCTGAAAGAGCAGTTTGTGTCAGAGTTCTCCCAGCCCCACCCACCTGACAAGGTGTCTGTTGTGGGGAGGGGAAGGGAAAGGAGTTTGTAAGCCGCTCTGAGACTCCAAGTGAAGGGCGGGGTATAAATGCAATCTCTTCTTCTCTTCTTCTGATATGACAAGGGGCCGGTAACTCGGATGACCTTGACGGGAACCCACGCAGGGCCACTGGAGAAGCTTCTTGCGTAGACAGAGTTGCCAGGGAAAAATCCTCTGGGCGCTTTTTGGCTCTCCGGCAATAGTGGAAGTACCTTGGTACCTGCCAAAGAGGCCAAGACATGACTGACTACCGGGACCGGGTAGGAGTGGTCCTGCAGCG